CTCTTCATCTCTAATTGGTCAATCACGAATCACCTGTGATAAGCCGTCGATGTGATAGTCTGAGACATGCGGGTTCGAGTCCGCTTTTGGAATAACATTTTTGAAAGCTTTTTTAAACTTGTATAAGGTATTCTGAATGATGGCGAAACCTTTACGATGCATTGATGACTACTTCTTCTTTAGAATTTTCAATTTTCAGCTTTTTTCTTAATAGTTTAGGAATATTTCTATTTTTTTCCCAATTCGAACCAGTTTCTGGCGAAAATTCGTAAAATTAGGTTAGGTATCATAATTAAAACATTTAAAACCCTTTTTTCCACACTTTCCGATACGATTTTCTACGTTTCCAGCCGTCTGAAACTGAAATTTCGGCAAAAATATGCTAATTAGGAAGAGGGGATTAATTTAAAATAAAAAGATTTCAGCAAAAAACAGTTTGAAAAAAATGTTGCGATCCCTATCTTTAGTTCAACATTTATGAAAACCTGGCAATTTCATCAATATTGAGCCAGTTTTTGTACAAAAAAGAGTGTTTCAGAAAATTTATATTAAAATGTGGAATTTCCGGAATATTCTTCACTGAAAACGACCGAAATTTTTAATTTCTAAACACATCTTGAGGGGGTCCTTCTTCACAAAGGGGCCTTCTATTTTTCAAAGCCTCTCTCTCAGGGCCCTTCTAATAGAGAGGTCCTTCTATTAAAGGGACCCTTCTAATACAGGTTTTACGATAAGCGGAATTCCTTATCCCTGATCTTTCAATTTTTATTCCCTCTTCCATCTTCCAACATCCTTCATCCTGATTTTTCCTCATTCTCCCGGATAATTCGAATGTTTTCTATTGCAAAATTCAAAATTAGAAAAATCTTTTTTTGTATTCCGCTTATCTTTGCTGGAAATGTCAGAATTCCGGATTCCGTGAAATTTTTAGATGTAGGGATTCCGAATTCCGGATTCATCTTTTTTATTTGGATTCCGTTTCTTGAGAAAAGTCATTCCGGAAATCTCTGTTCTACACACAACTTTCAGACAAGCTCATTCTCTGAAATTTGTTTGAATTGAAAGCTTAAATACAAACTTTCTGATTTACCTAATGTCTCAAAATCAGGCTTCCAATTCGGGTCAATCGTTTTATTCTCGTCTTCTACTTCTGGATATTTAACGATTCTCGTTGATACTCGTCTCTTATCACTTGTGAAAAAGCAATTAAACACGTAGAAGTAACCAGTCTTTTTGATTGTTTTCCATCCCATCCTAAGATATAATGAATTGGCCAGAACAGATAGAGAAATGTATCAAGAAGACAAAAAGTGTTTTTCAAATCTCCCTCCAATCCGTTTTTTTCCAATGCTCTCCCAACACATCTCTTTTCGTTTTGATATCAATCTCATTGGCACCCACAAGTTTTTCTTTTTTCTTCTTCATTTTTTCATTCGGAGGCTCCTCCAAATGTTTCTTTTGTGACGAAGGACTAGCAATTCATTTTAGTTGACCCAGAGAGTTCAACCTCTGAATTTAATTGTAAATGTTTTTATGCTTGAAAACCAGCTTGTTCTTTTTTTAAAACAATCAATATGATCGTCAGTTTTTTTTCCGTTTCTGTCTGATTCGATAATTGACACCAATTCTCACCGATTTACTCCCCATATTCCCAATCTGATCTTGTTTCCTCTCCATTGAACCTCACAGAACTTGTTTCCTTATCTTATCAGTGATAACCATGACTCTATTGGTTCCTCTTCATAAAATCGGCTCTTTTTTTGATGTTCATTGATTCTATTTGCTCGTTCGCGAACACTTTCCTCACAGATAATTAGAGGGTTCATCGTTGCGACTCGAGCAAATATAAAATGATTGAAATAAATGAGAAAGATAGGTAGACTAGTAAAGTATGAGTAAAAAGAAAACCAAGAGCATTTCTCACACCACAAGTACCTCCAGTTGTTACCTCTTGACCTGTACTTGCAAAACTTTCACTTTGTTTTATCACTGCTTGTGAGAGGAAACCCCTTTTTCTGCTTGAATTGCGAGTTTAGATTTCATTCACACAATAGTTTTTTTTTCTCTGAATCATATGTAACTTTCTAAAAAATTATAGACTTCTTAAAAATTCTGAACCCTCTAATCGTAAGAATATGTTATTTACTTACAGTCCTATTTTTGGATTTATGAAACTTCATCTAGGAGTAATAGAAGCGTTTCCATGTACCACAAACTTGGATCCAGACCAAATAAAAAACTACAAAAATGTCGATTCTAGGCTTCTGTAAACTTATTCAGAATTTTTCATTCATTTAAACTCCCCAATGCTGTATTCTAGGATCAGAAAACTTTTCAAAAGTTCCCAATTACTACGACATTTCAGCGATCAGTTTGGGACTATCCGCAGGTTTTATGATTCATAAACATAATTGGAAAGCTTGAACCATTTACAAATATCTGATGCACGAATTATTTATTCCTTCATCTGCAATACATATTTTATTCCTTCATCTGCAATACGCTCATCTGCAATACATACAAGTTCCATGATTTCTTCTACAATAATCTGATCTAAAATATCATTCTTTCTAGTTTTCTGTTCTTCTCTGAGTTCATAAACTTTTCTCCAATACTTACAAATGATATCACTCTACAAAAGAAAATTCGAATTCAAAGAAACGAATGCTGACCAGACAGACGAAAAGACAAGCGCATTGAATTGGGTTGTACTTTTAAAAGCGCCAATCATCGGTCCACATTCTTTTTCATTCTAACCGACATTGCTCTTATTTGAACTGTTCTGCGTGTGATAATCATTCAAAACTTTTGTTCAAATTCTCAATTCAGTTTCAATCAGCCTACTTACTGTATAATCAGGCCCTGATTTTTCTCGGTTTCCGGGCTCGGGCTTTATAGTTTAAAAATTGAAATTTCAAAAAAAAATTCTAAAAAGTTTCGTTGACAGAAAATAGGTTTTTTGTAATTGACCATTTTTTTTGGAAAAGACACCGGGCCTTGCAAATTCTGAGAAAAAGCCCGGTCCGGGCCGTTGGAATTAACAGCTAGAAGAAAATGAGCCCAAAATTTTCGAAAAAGCCAGCTGCAATTCTGATGTCGACTGTTTTTCTCATTTTCTCCCAAAGCGGAACATTTTCGTGAGTGTTTCAAATGCTCCCATAATCTGAGTGTTTCTCATAATTTAGAATCCCTCATCCGTCTTCTTCTTTTGTTTCCTGCCATCTTCTTCTTCTAGTTTCGACACCAACTGACTCATTTTGTCACTAGTATCCAAATATTCCTTTGATTGATACCGTCTTCCCGACACCTGCACCCGTCTTTCTGTTCTCTTTTCATTTTCCACCAAAATTTTGATACCTTTTCTTCAATTCAAAAAAAATTATTTGAACTCTTTCTCCTCGTATCAGTGGTAACTTGAGATTGTGTGAAGAGTATTCCTGTGTCTGCCTGTGTGTAAAAATGAAAACGCAAACAAACTTTCTCTTATTATTGTTCGCTTCTCTTCGTCCATTTTCAATCGTTCCTTCCCTCATTTTTCTTCGTGCTATCAGGAAAAAAAAACGGAAACCAAAGAGAACATTTTTCAGATTTCTGTCGATAATTCAATCGAAACAAAACGACGGTGTTTACAATTCATTCCCGTTCAGTAGGAATCCAATTCGTAGAAAAAATAAAAAATATCGTGGTGAGTAGTTATTTTAAAACGTTCAGATATTTCGGATACATCTAGTTCTGAAGTAAATAAAACTGTTTGAATGTTCTTGTTTGGTATAAAAGGTCTTGTTCATTAGAAGAGAAGTTTTCAAACTACATGTACCGTAAACCGTGTGATAGATAATCATCTAAGACGCCACCCATATTACATTCGCTGTACATTAAAAAATGCTACAAAACTTTCTGCTCAATTTCTTACTCTCCGTATTATATCCTGCTGGAACTCGCTTCCAAAAACCGTGTCTCTTTTAAAACTAATTTAAGTCATGTTAATTTATCTTCTTTTCTGTTCCTAGACGAACATAATTTCTAACTCATTTGTTTAATTTGTAACACATTGATTTTATAAGTGACTGATAGTCCTGAATCAAATAAATTATTATTAATTATTATTATAGATGGGCTTCATAACGTTTAACTGTGAGCCAATTTATTTTTTATCTCGGTTCCTGTTATAGATATCAAAAAGAAGTCAACTGCTGAATTGCTTATTATAACCTCACAAACATTTTATTAATTGATAGATTGCTGATACTTTGCATAGAAGATAAGAAAAATTAGCTCAATCTTGATTTTTTACTAATGTCTTCACATTTTCTCCATGAATAATAATTTTTGAAAAACTTCCGCGATACGAAACTACTCTAACTGTCTTCGCAACAATTAATTACCTTTCCTTAAATCTCTGAAACTCAAAACCCTTCGAAATCATTAAATTTGACTATAGCTTTATTGAAATCAAAAAATTTCTGAAACACTCGTATGTCAGAATTTTGAGTGTTTTAACTTGAGGAGTCACAACTTTACTACCGTATTTCCTTTAATGAGAAACCCATTCCCAACCGTCAACTTTAAGCTCAATTATCTCGGTTTCTGTGAATGATATCGAAAAGTTGTCAACTGATTAAATAACGGTGATGTTATGATAAAAATTCATCTGTTGACAAATTTTTGATACCTTTCAAAGGAACTATGATAATTGAGCTCAAACTTGGCAGCGTGGGAATCCTTCTATTAAAGTTTTAAAGGAATCTGAACTCGTTTGTCTTCATTACCAGTTTACTCTTTCTGGCTACATGCTTTATTACCCAAGCCCTTTTTCAACTCGTTCTTCTTTGTTCCCATTGACTGTATCTATTACGGAACCTTATCCACACATACTCCCTAATCTTTTCCCATCACGAATCCCAAATCCCTTCCTTTCTCGTAAAAGGACACCGATGCTTTTTTATTTACCAAAAGTGTTACGCCATGTCGAACGTAATATATACTATCTGCATTGCACAATGAGCTTTATGCCAGTGTATCAACCCTCCCTTTTTCGGTTTCTCACACAAATGCACCGCCTTGTTTAAATAGGTGTTTGATAGGGTCTCGAACGTACAGAACACAGGACAAGAAGACCACTTGAATAAGTGTATTTGCCACGTCATGGAAGGTGCGACTAAAGTGTTCTTGATAAGTCAACTTGGGATGTTCGAAGGATCGGGTTTCAATTCAAACTTTTTGATGGGTCTAGATGCTGCTGAATTACTGTAGTTTTAAATTTTGAACCTTCTGATTTCCTTCAGTCTACACTTGTCTTCTTATCGAACCAAACATCTATCAATCTTTTCCATCTAATTTCGAAATTTCCCTCATTCATTCTGAGGACATAATTGTGGTTCTCCTGAAGAATGTTGCCAAAAAAGACAGGGTCGTGGAGGCAGACAGGAGTCAATTAAAATGGCAGGATGGGAGAACATGACACGTGGTTTCTAGTTTGAAAGCTAGGAGAGATTCAAATTTTGAATCTATGTGTTACCAAAAAATACAGTATCTTCTCGGTTTGTTTTGCCACGACATGTAGTTCCCATAAAACAATTTCCCAAATTTTCAATTACGGTACTCAATCAATTACGCAATTAGAGCTCAGACATCATCCAGAAGATGTTCCTTGTGGGAGATTATCCCTCATTGGCACCACAAACACATTTCCATGTTGTTGCATTCTTTCTCAATAGGAGACGAGGTTTCATTCCATCGCATGTTTGCACTTCTCAGTTGGATGCTCAACGATAGAGCGTGCAGAATCGAGAGACGCAGTCGTATTGTTTTCTGATTAGTCTTACTGTGTGTCAGGAGGATATGTTTATGTTTGGTGACACTGTCAATGTGTTGGAGATGAGCTCGTGGTGACACTTCTATTAATAATACGATATTGTTATAAGAGAGACAGGAAGTTACTAATTGAACAAGGAAATGGTAGAAATCTGCTTGGAGAACGTCTGAGAAGCTAATAGATTCTATTCAGAAAGAATTAAACTATTTTGAAACTTCTTTCAGACATGAAAAACAGTTTTCTCAAAATTGCGTTCGTAACAGTACCGGTGTTTTCAGTGGATTTTGCCCATTTTCAGGAGTCTGGAGCTCGGTTGTCAAGTATAGGATCACTTTGAAAAACTTGAAA